GCGTTCCCCCTCCTCCCTCCCAGGCTTGCCGCGAATCAGCTGATTGGTGGCGCAAGAGCTGGGAGCCAGGGGGAGGAGCAGAAGGCAGGGGGCCCTCAGGGGAGGAGGCGGAGGTGAACTGGGCAGGGGGGTCGGGACTGGGGAGCTGGGCTGCTGGTGGGTGCTCAGCACCCACCAATTTTTCCCCATGGGTGCTCGAGCCCCAGAGCACCCAGAGAGTCGGTGCCTAAGGCGCCACTTTTGAAGAAAGCAGCCGCTCCCCCCTGCTCCCACCCAGCTACGCTCCTGTTTCCAGGACAGAAGGCTTGTCTTTCTGGTAACACACATCAGCTTGTAATGTATTACCTTTTCAGGAAAAAATAAAATAAAAGGATGATGTGACATCAGAGAGCATCCCTCAAACATTCTCTATTGTGACTCTTAGGCCATGCCTACACTATGGGTACTACGGTGCTGGAACTACACCACTGTAGTGCGATAGTGTAGATGCTTCCTACAGCAATGCAAAGGGTTTTTCCATCAATGTAGATAATCCACTTCCCAGGGCAGTGGTAGCTAGATTGACAGAGAAATTCTTCTGTCGATCTAGCCATGTCTACATTGGTGGGTAGATTAGCTTAACTATGATGTTAAGGGTGTGAATTTTTCACACCTCTGAATACTCTACCTGTGTCAACTTAAAAGTTAACTGTAGATCAGGCCTTACTCTTTTATACCCTCTGCAACAAAAGACTGAGGCCTGGGCTGCACTTAAAACTTAGGCTGGCACAGCAAGGCTGCTCAGGGTCTGAAAAATCCACACTTCTGAGCACCGTAGCTATGCAGAGTGCACCCCCGGTGTAGATGCAGCTAGGGCAATGGAAGAATGCTTTCGTCGACCTAGTTACCATTGCTCAGGGAGGTAAAAACAGTCTCCAATTTGTTCCATCTTCATCATGCCAGCACAACCAGAGAACTGAATGTTTATCTCAATGGTCAAAAGGTGAAGCATGAAGTAGAACTGGTCTATCTAGGTTTGACCTTAGACCGCACACTGAGTTACCATGCTCACCTGAAGAAGACAGCAGCTAAGGTTATAATGTTCTTAGCAAACTGCAGGTTCATCATGAGGTGCTCATGCTCCAACTGTGCAGACGTCAGCTCTTGCCACCTCGTAATCGGTGGTGGAGTACTGTGCACCAGTTTGGAGTCGATCATCACACACCAAACTGGTGGATACGCAGTTAGATGCTGCCATGCGTATCATCTCCGGCACCCTGCATCCAACTCCACTCCCATGGCTTCCAGTTCTGAGCAATATTACTCCTCCTCATAACAGACGAGAGGATAAGAGCCAGGCAGGAAGGTGTGGGGAGCCACGGCGGACTCTCTATCTGCCTGTGGTGCAAGGGGCCCGAGCAGCCCCTGGCCCGTGTCCCTGCTCCCAGGGCTCCCCGCCTGCCCGGGGCAGATGGAGGATCTGCGACTCCATGGCTCCTCACAGCTACCCACACAACTCTTACCATGGCCAGACTGCAGCTCCAAGGCCCGCCCCGCTGGCCGGAGCCAGGTTGGGGAGAGCTGCGCGGGCAGCTGTGGGGAGCCAGCATGGAGTTGCAGATCCTCCTCCTGCCCCGGGTGGCCGGAGAGTGGGGACATGGGCCAGGGATTGCTTTCAGCCCCCCACTCCCTGGGCAGGTGGAGGGTCCACCACAGCTCCCCACAGCTGCCCAGGCTCCACACTGGCTTGGCCGTGGGGTGGGGCCTCGAGGGGAAGAGGAGGAGAAGGGGGCGGGGTCTGCCTGGGCGAAAAGTGGGAGGACCAGGCCCTTCCACTTTCAACAAGTAGGAGGGCTATGACCTGCTGGTTCTGGCACCACTGGCCCGGGGCCCCAGCCACAGGGGAAGGAAGAGCCGAAGCACAGTGCAGTGGGAAGCAGGAGAGAGGCTGGGGGTGGAGTGTGGGTGGGGCCATGCAGGCAGTTTGGGTAGGCTGAGCCTTCCCCTGACTTTGATGCCTGCTGCCCTGCCCAAAACTGGACACAGCTATCGACTTTTCATTAATTTACTTGTACTAGAAGAGGTAGTAGTACAACAACATTCATTCATTCAGACAAACTGCTCTGCATGGCCCCCTCTTGCCTGTGTACATAGGGGTGGTTCCTTGAATCCTCCTGAGAGATTTCGTTGAAACATTCATGGAGGTACTCTGCAGTCCTCTCCTGAAGGTTTCTAGGGATGGCAGCATTATTTCTTCCTCAAAGGTAGGACACTTTCCCACGTTAGTCAGCTGTAACTTCGGCAGGCACCATTGTAGTACACAGGCTAGCAGTATATGGGCCCAGGCACCTTCGGGATGCCAGCAGCAGCTGTGTTCTCTATGCCTCTGTTACACTCAGGAGTGAGATATCAGCTAAAATGACCACTGCCTGTGGAAAATGGTGCCAGTATTCAGTACCATTGCTCAGTACTCATAGTTGCATGCAACCGAGCAATTCCCTCCTCATCTCCCTTACTCCTGGTAGGCTATACTCACCACGAGACTGGTGCTGTGAGTGGGGCCATGCACAAGCACTCTGAAGCAGAAGTGACAATAAGCATGTCTTATTTAAATCTTTAGGGGAGCAAGGGAGGGAAGCTCTGAATCTTAACTTTTACTTTCTGTTGTGACTATATTGACAATGCTACCTCTGTGTGTTTTATCTGCAGCTGCTGCTGTTGCGGCCTTAAGGGGTTCCCATTCCACACCTGTGGGAAGGGGAGTCAGATAAGGAGAAAAAAGATGACGACTCAGGATGACATGTTCAGTGCGATCCTGCAAGCTGGTGCTGCATCAGACTTGAGCATAGTGCCTGGAGGGTGAACACTGCAAACAGCCTGGAGAAGGAAAGAGCAAACAGAAGGACTAAGAATTTCAGCAGTAATAGGAGAGGGAGATGCACCAGGATGTTATGGGGCTTCTCTGGCAGCAAACACAGATGCTGCAGACTCTTGTGGACCTACATGTTCAACAGTTATAGGCTCGCCTCCCATAGCAGTCCATGGAGAACTTTATTACATCATCTCCCTAAAGCGCCCTCAACATTCATCGTGATATCAGGGGCCACATCTCTACCCCACCATTCCACCCCATGGGACATTAAGGACAATCACAGCTTCACAGGCACTGACCTGTGAAAGCCATGGTTGCTATATGTGTAGGTAAAATGGCATGAATGTTTTTTCCCTTTGTTAAGGTCCGTCCCATTAATGTATTACGTTTTTAATGTATTTGTTTTTAAACGGCACAAAGTTTTCTTTGCACTGGTATTGTTACTGAATACAATTCTATTATTTGGAAATTAATCTTTATTAGTTCACAGCATATGCTGTGGAGTGCCGAGCAGTTCTGAAAGCACCCACTTGTTACTTTACAGGTATGACACAACTCATATGACCAGTAACAGTGTAAAAATCCTAAATGTACAGCAAGCATCGAAAAATGCATAGGTGAATTAACAGCACTATATTCATAAGCGTACACCACATAATTTCTAACAGGCCCTAAAACAGCAGGGCCAGGTAGAGCACAGTACAACACAATACATTACTATGGCTTACCATTAAAGAGCTCTTTCAAAGCCTCGCTGAGCCGTATAGATCTGAGTTGAGCTTTTCTAATAGCCCTTGTGTCTGGCTGTTCAAACTCAGCAGTGAGCCGCTCTACCTCAACCATCCACCCTGGTGGCAACTTTTTCCCCTTTGCTTCACAAATATGCAGGACACAGCAGGAAGCTATAACCATTGGGATTTTTTTTTTAACTGAGATCCATTCTTGTCAGTAAACAACATCAGTGTCCCTCCAATCCACCAAAAGCACATTCAACTGTCATTCTGCACCTCCTGAGCTGGTAGTTGACTCTTTCCTTGGTGCTATTGAGGTGGTTGGTTTACAGCTTCATGAGCAAGGGGTAGGCTGGGTCCGCCAGGATCACTGCTAGCAATTCAACATCACCATAGCTAATTTGCCAGTTGGGCAAGAAAGTCTCTGTAGCTTTCTGAACAGTCCTGTGTTCTTAAAGATGCAAGCATCATTGACCTTCCCTGACCAGCCAAAACTGATGTCAGTGAAGCATCCCCAGCAATCCACCAATGCTTGCATAACCATAAAAAAGTAGCCGTTTCTATTGATATACTCTGTGGCAAGGTGGTCTGGCACCAAAATAGGGATGTGTTGCTCCACCGCAGTTTGGGAACCCCACTGCTGAAAATCCATCCACTATGTCCTGCACAGTGCTGAGTGTCACAGTCCTGCATAGCAGGAGATGATTAATGGCCCTGCACACTTGCATGACAACAGACTCCACAGTGGATTTTCCATCTCCAAAATGACTTCCCAATGATTGGTAGCAATCCGGCTCTGCGAGTTTCCACAGTGCAATTGCCACTAGCTTCTCTACTGCCAGTGCAACTCTCATTTTGGTGTCCCTGCACTGGAGGTCTGGGGCGCGCTCGGCACACACATCCAGAAATGGGACCTTGTACATTTGAAAGTTCTACAGCCAATGCTCCTCATCCCAAGCCTGTATTATGATGCAATCCCATGCAGTGCTCCACCATCAGCAGCTGCTCTGTGAATGCCATCAACAACCTTGAATTGTTTCTTTCTATGTCCCTCAGCAATTTGTCCTCCAATAACTCATCATGTTCCCTGCTCATTCAGTTCTTCTTACAGCTCTGCCAATACTGGAGGAATGCGTGTCCTATGCTTGTAATGCTTATGACAATAGTGGAGAGCTCCATGCAACTGTCAGAGATGACTGATAGTGAGGATGGCTACGTGGGTTTGTGGGATTTTTAAAAAAGGTCTGAAAAGTATGGGATATAAGTGACATTATGGGACGGAGACAGTTGCATGCTGGGAGGTTAACCCCATGCTCCCAGTCACCCCTGCACAACCCCTTTCTGCCCCACAATGCATTGCCAAAACTTTCCAAAAGACAGTGTGCTGTATGGTGTCAGGTTGCACACTGGGATACCTACCCATGGTGTACTGCACTGTGCATTGACACAAGCACTCCTGGTGAGTATGTGAAGCGCTGACACAAGAAGCCAAGTATGCATGAGTACAAGTGCTATACAAACTGTGGCAGTTTTATGCCAACATCACTTCATGTGGATCAAAGTTTGTAGTGTAAACATGGCCCCACTCCTACATATTTAAAAAGTTTAAGGTCAGGTCTACACAAAGTTAAGTCAACCCAGCTACGTCGCCCAGGGGTGTGAAAAATCCACACCCCTGAGTGTTGCAGTTAAGCAGACCTAACCGCCGGAGTAGACCAGTGCTAAGTCAATTGAAAGATTCTTCCGTTGACCTGGCAACCATCTCCTGGGGGAAGTGGATTAACTATAGTGATGGGAGAACCTCTCCTGTTGCAGAAGTGAGTGTCTACACTGAAGCGCTGCAGCTGTGCCACTGTAGCGTTTCAAGTGTAGTTGAGCTCTAAGTTTATCGGATGCTGTTTATCATCCTCCACAGTTACTGTTGAAATAGAAAGTATTTCTTTAATATTGTAAGACATGAATATGCCATGCCGCTTCTTTACAAATACAGGACAGAAATATTTATTGAACACTTGTCCATTTTACCATCCCTGCCTAGTACTGGGCCTAGATCATTGCGGGGTTCCTCTAGTCCTGTTAATTATCTGATCACACATTATTCCTCATCCCCTCTTCCTCTAACCCCCCCATCCCTCTCTCCAATTATCCCCTGCCCCATTCCTGCCAACCCTTCCCCAAACCCCATCCACCCCTATAACTCCTCCTGCTTGTTCATCCTCTCCCCAACCCTTCTATCGCCCATAAATAACCCCCTCCCCAAAGTCCCTCCAAACACCCCCCATCCCCCTCTATCCTCCCCTAGACCCTTCTCCCCAAAGCCCCGTGCCCCTCCCCAAATCCCTCTATCCCCCCAGACCACTCCCCAGCCCCTCACAACCCCTCCCCCAACTCCTTCCCTCCTCTGGCGGCCCTCTCGGTCCCCTCAGGCGCGCTGCTCTCGGCACGGCACCCTGACGGCTCCCCGACCCCTCGTAGCCGGGCTATTCTCTCGGCGAATCCCCCTCCCGCCGCAGGCTATTCCCCTCCATCGCCCCCTCCCCCCGCCGCAGCGCTCCGGACCCAAGATGGCCGCCGTGTCAGTTTGGGGCTTCGCCGCCGTCCGGCCTCCGGCTCGCGGTTTGCGTCTCTCGCAGGCCCCGGTAAGTGGCGTCGTCTCGGCCGCTCTTGGCTCCGGTGCCCGGCGCCGAGGGGGCCGAGGGCAGGCGGCTGGCCGGGCCCTGCCGCCCCAGGGAGCGGGAGGCCCGTCGGGTGCTCCAGGCCCCGCGGCCTGTTCCGGCCCCGCCGCCGCTCTGCGCCAAGCCCGGGCCCGGCCGCCCCGCTCCCCTGCAGCGCGCTCGAGCCCAGCAACCGAGGAGGCGGCGCCCACGGGAGGCCGCGGATGAGGCCGGGGGCGCGGGCCGCGGCGCTCGGGCTGAGTCGGCCTCCGACTGCGGCTCCTGGTAGCGCGGCTCAGGCGGGCCCGGCGATGCGGGAACACCGGTCCGGGCTGGGCTGCCTATTCCCAGGGAGAGGCAGCGCGGTGCCCACTGGGGTGCCCTCTGCCGCTGGGGCCGGTGCCCTGATTCCCCGGGAGCGGAGTCCGTGCGCCCGAGCAGGGTCCAGGGGGTCCGGCCGGGGCGCCATCCCGCGAGCTCTTCTGTGCTGTGGGCTTTCCTATAGCACGGGTGGGGACCGGCTGTGACAGGTGCAGGGGTACTTGTCATGCAGCTGGAGAATGAGTGAGGGGCCATCACCTCAGGATGACACCAGCCTCAGCCTGGCCTCGCTATTAAGAATGTTCTAGGACAGTGAAATGCCCTGATGGGAGATCGCAGGGTCCCCTTCCCCTGGGGTCCAGGTATGGGGTGCCTCAGAGGCATTCCCTGTCAGTTACAGTTTAAATAGAAAGGTGCAGACAGATGTATGTGCGGTCATACCTATCCTTACGTCTGTTATAGTGGTAATACAACCCCTGTTTAAATACTGTTTTCCTTCTGTGTAGATTTTGTTTTAAGCAGAGGTTCTAAACTTCTACCTAATTATTAAACTTAAACCTGTATGTGGGGGACAGTGTAGATGATCTAAATTTCATGTTTTAAAATCCTTTGTTATTGGCAGATTCTCTAACAGTTACTAGAAAGCAGGATACCGGATGGAAGAGCTAGAGGTACTAGGTTAACTAACTTGGAACTTACAAAATTTCTCCTATAAAAATGGTGAAGATTTCAATAAACTGTCTACAACTCCTTGAATGTAAATGCAAGAGGCAAAACGTATTATCTGCCTGTGGCATTCAGAATCCTTTAGTTACTTTGTATTGAAGTTTCACGCTAAGGCTATGTCTTCACTGCCAAATTAGGTGTGTTTATTGCATCAGGATAGCTGTCATGATGTAAAATTGTAATGGAGATAAGGCACCACGTAGTTTTTACCTTGATGTAGCTAACTGAGGTCAACCCTGTATCTCCCACCTGGGAGTTACGTTGGCTAGCTACATCCAGGCAGAAACTACAGTGCTTTGTCTCCAGTAGGATTTTACATTGTTAGCTGTCTCGATGTAAAATCCAAACTTTGTTTTTAAGTGAAGACATAGCATAAGTGTTACTTCAGCATTGTTACAAAATGTGCTTCAAAACTTCAGTGATAGATTAGAAGAATTTACAATATTCTTGTATATTTGTGACTATACAAACTAGAATGGGACATTTGTGACTTTCTTTGTGGGCGTGACTATTTTCTGATTTTATTTCAGATTTAATGTTCCAGTTTTCCTGATGTGAGATTGGAAATCCAAAGTTGAGGTGAGATGTGCTGAGTTCTTTACAACTTTGTGAAAACCTTTCTCTGGAGCTGTTGATGGATTTATTGAAAGCATGAAGAAATTCCTAACAGAATATATCATTTTTCTACTTTCAGTTTAAAAATATTAATGTTTGAGAAACAGAGAGTAATTCAGCTCCAAAAACGTGTATGCTATGGTTAACTGGTTCCCATCCTCCAAAAATCTGTTTTCCCATGGTGTGAAGCTTATTCAGCATCGGGATAAAGGATAACGACTCTATGGATATACAGAATTCTTCACCATGGTAAAACTCGCTAACCCGCTGTATACGGAGTGGATTTTGGAGGCAATCAAAAAGGTGAAGAAGCAAAAACAACGCCCTTCAGAGGAGAGGATATGCAATGCAGTGTCTTCATCCCATGGTTTGGACCGTAAAACTGTTCTGGAACAACTAGAATTGAGTGTTAAAGATGGAACTATATTAAAAGTCTCCAACAAAGGTCTCAATTCCTACAAGGATCCTGATAATCCTGGGAGAATAGCACTTCCTAAACCTCGAAACCATGGAAAGTTGGATGGTAAACCAAACGTGGACTGGAATAAACTGATCAAACGGGCAATTGAGGGCTTGGCAGAGTCCAGTGGTTCATCCTTGAAGAATATTGAACGCTTTTTGAAAGGTCAGAAGGATGTGTCTGCATTGTTTGGAGGTAGTGGCACTTCCATCTTTCACCAGCAATTGCGACTGGCTGTCAAGCGTGCTGTTGGCCATGGCAGACTCCTTAAAGATGGACCTTTGTACCAACTCAACACTAAAGCAGCCATCAATGCTGATGGGAAAGAGAGTTGTGAGTCTCTTTCCTGTCTGCCTCCAGTGTCGCTCCTTCCTCATGAAAAGGATAAGGTAAGAGCCAAGTATACACCAACATTTCCTTGGAGCTGATGATACATGGTGATACAGGCTCAAAATTTGAGGTCACTCTCTTTAATATGTAACTGGTAAGTTGAAAATGGGCAGGAGGCTTTGAGAAGTCTGCAGCAAATGAATAGTTCTGTTTCTTCCCAGTTTCTGAGCATGAGCAGAGAAAACCTCATGGTTGGTAATTTGTGCCTGCTGCTTGGAAACTGCAAATGACAAACTTCCCTCCCCAACATTCATAGTGTTGAATCAAAGGGTTGGTTGGAGACTCTCCAGAATATAAGGTTGTGTTTGTCTGATATGTTTAACTCCATTTATATCAACAGGAAAAGCAGGGAATTATCCTCACATGCATTCAAATTGGGTGGATTATTAAAAAAGAAAAAAAATTCAAGGTTTTATTTTTTTCAGTTAGCTACCAGCCCAATTCACTATTTCGGACCTATTATTTTATTTTTTATGTGTATTCTGATAGCATCTAGAAGTCCTAATCAGCTATCTGAGCCCTATTGTGCTAAGTGCTTTCAACGCATGCACATAATGAATGACAGTTCTTGCCTCAAATAATTAAGTTTTAGCTTCTGAAAAGTCAACAGATGGATAGAGCAAATGGGGGAAGGGATGGACTACATGGAAGGTAATAGTGGAGTGAACACTTTTAATGTATCTTAATGAAACCAAGTTATTTATATTGTATCATAAAGAAACTCAGGTATAGACTCATTGTAAAATGAAACACTTATTTTCTGTGTTTTAGTGTCTCCTATTCTGTGCATATTTTTGGCCTGTTTCTTTCTATCCCTCTCCCTGTATAAGATTTTTGACCTCTCCAACTTCAAGTTCGAGTTGGCAGAGTGAAATTGACACCCAGTTCAGTTCGTTCTTGCCCCTGTTTTACCACTGGGGATGTTATGTCAATGAGTTTGTTTTCAAGTAAAGACAAAAGTTGCCAACAAAGGGTCCCTTTGCACTGCAAGTCTCTAATGCCTTCTGCAACAGTGCTGAAAGTGACTTTGTCCCATCCATGCTACTGGCTAAATTTATTTTCAACTCTGATGGGGGGGGAGAGGGGGTCTTGTTGCTGACATCCTTTTGTTACTGATGAGAGCTCAGTGCCTCTCTAATCAGCTTCACACTCCAGGCAGGGTTCTTTCCTATGGTCTTTACAAGCTTTGAGGCCTTGATGGCATTAGGAAGTTTCTTTTCTAAAATTTCCAACTACTGCTACCACTAGTAAAAATCCATCAATGACTGTACAGGTGAGAGCACTATTGTAAACAGAGCACTGTTGCTTTCAGCACTGTAGGACATAGACCTGCACTGAGTAGAATTAGAGAACAGTATACTTAATCCCTGTGGTTTCCTGGAGCTCTGGCTAGTCTAGTCTAAGCTAATGTTCTTACTACTAGTAAAGACTGGTCTACATTTTTTTTGTACTACTTTAACAATATCGGTTACTAAACCAAAATAGTTTCAGCAGTATGGAAACTGTGTGTACACAAGCAGTAAAACCAGTAGCAGCTGAACCGATAGTAGTAACAGTGGGGAAACTGTAGCACATCTTAGTGTCAACTGTCTGAGAGAGAATGTCTGGGCTCTGAAGCTGGTTGCGTATTAATACTGTGGCATCAGTATGATTCTTCAGTGGAATTATTCCATGGCAGTGTCTTAAAATGAGGTTATCTAAATGCAGTGAAGGAAAATATGGAATACCACAAATCCTGTGTCTTATTTCTTATTTTTTTTTGTCCCCCAAGTATATCCCCCAGTAAAACGATTAATGAAAATTTCAATAAAGATGTTTAAAAATGCCCAACCCCCGCTAGAATTACAAACATGCACTTCCTTGTAACTGCTCAGATCTGGGATTTCTTCTGTAACCTTTGCATTGGAGCTATGACAGAAAGTTCATCTGGCCATGTACTGAAGAAAACTATAAT